TGACTATGGTAGTGATGTGCATGAGGAGTTGAGAATTGTTAAGGAAGATGTGAGAAAACTTGGAGAAAGAAGAAGGAGAAAGAAGAAGGAAAAACCAAAAGGTTTTTTAGGTGAAGTTGGATTTGATGAAGGGTATGAGGATATCAAAAAAGGGAAAAAGAATTTCAAGGGTAAGCTAATAGAGGATGAGTCATACTATGACAGTTCTGATTGTGATAGTTTTCAAAGTGATGAAGAAGAACTTGTTTCTGATGATGAACTTGAAGGAGAGAGTTTAAGGGGGAGAAAGAAGAGTAATAGGGTGGTATATGATTCTTCTTGTGATATTGTAATATGGCAGTGTGGTTTGATATTTGAAAGTGTAAAGCAATTTAGAGAGGCAGTTACAAAATATGCTATAAAAAAAGGAGTTGAGTTAGATAAGTATGTGAATGAGAGTACTAGAGTGAGAGTGAAGTATAAAAGTGGTTGTCCATGGCTGTTGTATGCAAGCAAGGAAGGAAGGAGTGAGAACTTTACTATCAAGATATACAATCCAAGGCACAAATGTACCAGAACCACCAATAATATTTTGTGTAATTCAAAGTTCTTATGCAAGTATCTGAAAGATAGGATTATTTCTCAACCTAGTATAAAAGGGTGGGAGATACAAGAATTGGTGAGGAAAGAGTTGAATGTTCATGTAGGCAAGACAGTTTGTTTAAAAACAAGAAAAATTATTTTAAAGGAAATAATGGGAGATCATGTGGCAGAATTTAACAGAATCCTAGACTACAAGGATATGTTACTCCAAACAAATCCTGGTAGCACTTGTGTTGTGAAGCTTAAAGATTCAGAATCAGGAAATGGGATGAAACAATTTCACTCTTTTTATATTTATTTTGATGCTATGAAAAAGGGTTTTCAACAAGGATGCAAAAGATGTATAGGGCTAGATGGGTGTTTTCTAAAGGGAATTTGCAGGGGTCAACTTTTGGTAGCTATTGCTAAAGATGCAAACAACCAAATGTATCCAATAGCATGGGCAGTAATTGATACTGAAAGCAAGTTGACATGGAAATGGTTCATGACCATTCTGAAAGATGATCTTAATCTAGGAAATGGTTCCCAGCTAACTATCATTAGTGATATGCAAAGGTAATTGAATATCTTTCTTTTGTTTATGTTTCATGTAATTGCTAATTTAATTTGACTAAAATTTAACTTGCTTTTTTTGCTTTGAAACTACAGGGACTAATAGCTGCTGTAGATGAACTATTTCCAGAATGTGAGCACAAAATGTGTGCTAGACACATATTAGCAAATTGGTCACAAAACTAACTTGCTTTTTTTGCTTTGCAACTACAGGGACTAATAGCTGCTGTAGATGAACTATTTCCAGAATGTGAGCACAGAATGTGTGCTAGACACATATTAGCAAATTGGTCACAAAACTTCAGAGGCTTAGAGAGAAGAAAGAAATTTTGGGCTTGTGCTAGATCAACATTTGAGGCACAATTTAAGTACAATATAAATGCCCTGTTCAAGCTGGGAATTGGTATTGTTGAATTCTTATCAAATACAACAAGGAGACATGGTGTAAAGCTTTTATTCAAACATTTTCAAAGTGTGATAGCATAGATAACAACATGGCAGAGAGTTTCAATTCTTGGATCTTGGGACCTAGGAACAAGACCATTGTAGGTATGTTGGAAGAAATTAGAGTTAAGCTGATGAGTAGAGTGAGTAAGTCAAGAGCATTTGCTGAAACATGGACAGATGGAATATTTCCAATGGCAATGATGGTATTCAATACAAATGTAACAAGATCAATGCAGTGCAACATTGAATAGAATGGTGATGTTGGATTTGAAGTGTTAGAAGGGGTATACAAGCATACTGTGAACTTGGGTCAACAAAAATGTAGTTGCAGATCATGGGAATTAAAAGGTATCCCATGTGCACATGGTATAGCAGCAATGAACCACTTGAACATGGATGCATCACAAGCAATATCTAGTTGGTATAC